ACAGCACAGGCTAACTCTGAGGGCTTGTCCACACTTACAGCGCGGCAGGCCTGCTGCGCCTCTGCAGTGCTTAGTGAAGACACTACCTGCACTGATGAGAGAGCTTCTCCCAGCAGTGTAGTTACGCCACCTCCCCGAGAGGCGGAAGCCCTTCCGTCAACATAGCACTGTCTACACTGGCGGTTAGGCGGGTGTGACTACATCACTCAGGGATGTGGATTTACCACATCCTTGAGCTACATAGTTGTCCTGACACAAGTTCCTGAGAAGAGTCACAAAGGCAAGGGTTCTCTCAGCTCGTATGCACGGCTTTAGATAGGAACAAATCAAACTGAATGAATTCTATTATCAAACAAACTGGGGAGACCCAACTTGTAGGTAGGAAGGGGCGAGAACAACATTTCTCCGTAGTGAAATGGCTCCAAAGCAGACGGGATTAAACTGGATGTGAGACATGTCCAGGTCCACGAGGCAGATAGCCAGCGCAGCTGTAGCTGTTTGAATACTGCTCCCACCTCCCTCCGAGCACTTTCCCTGCAAGAACTGGCATCTTACTATGATCCAGAAGCATTTCACCATTTGTCAAGGAAAGTAAACAAGGGGCATTGACAGCTCCTGGGTGAGCTTGGTCATTTCTAGCATAGAAACTCTTTTGCTGTTGCTGGAGGCTGGACGCACAGGAGGGCGCTGTGGAGACAGAGAGTCTGGATCTGAAATATATGGATGGGAACTGCTCCGCACTAACACATCAGCCACGAACACAAGAAATACCACAGATAAGGAAGCAAACCAAACTGCAGCCGCAGCATCAATGCTCATAAATAACAGTGACTCTTTGGCCTAGGTACCAGGGAAAGCACTCACAAGATAAACTGGCTTAGTTTAAGATGTGGGAGTCGATTTCCTCTGGATGTCTGAGGGGTACATTCCATTTCAAGCCTGTCTAACGTTTGGGGGAGTGAGTGGGTGCAAAGGTGAGTTGGTTTGCGTGTGAGAGAGTGATCACACGGAATGGGCTCTGGTGCCAGAAATGCTAAATGGGATCTGATTGGTTTGGCTTGCTCGTTCTGCTTTGATGTACCAGAATTATATCTACTAGCACGTGATGAGGAGGCGGCTCCCCTGCTAGAATACACTGCTCAACTTACTTGTTTTGGAACTTACATCATTTGTTTTTGGTAACAGCATCAAACGCTTTAAAAAGGGCCTTCTCAGCATAGTTTTCAAACCCTTGGTTATTCACCATTGAGTACAATCAACAGCCCCTTTGCTTGAGGTTGAATTATATTCCTTAGACTCAGATCCCCTCTTTTGCACGTACACATTAGTTTGGGTTGGGCTGTTTATGACGGAGGCCCTTGGAAAATAGTGGGAGAAATGGCAGAAGAGTCCGGGAATGGTCCTGACTGTGGTGGCAAATGTTCACTAGTGCTGGTTGGGAATTTTCCATCCCAGGGATTTTGCCTTTTCGCAAAAGCGAAAGTTTCTGTGGGAAAATTTTAATATGCCAGAAAAATTCAATTTTCCATCAGGAAAATCAAAATGAGGGCTCAGCAGCTGCCCCACCTGGAGAGCTCTTGTCAATTTCACTCCGGGAGAAAGAGAAATTGACAAGAACCTTTCAGGGGAACAGGTGAAAAATTGTTTCAGCTCTTCTGAAATGGAATTTTCCTGAAAATCCCTTCCAAAGAGAAATGTGGTATTTTTGACTTTCTTTCTTTTTTTTTTTTTCCTAAATTTTCTGTGGGCAGGGATTTCCATTTTCCAGCCAGCTCCAATGTTAACCTTTTGCCGTATATGGCCAGGCTGCAGTCAGACTGGCTCACTGGGACTAACCATTTCACAGCCGTATCATTCTCTTTCCAAAATGGAAAGAGCAGTCAAGGTGCACTAGGTTAAAAATCGGCTCAGCAAAACAGCACCCAGGGCACAAACTTCCTTCTGCTGAGAGCTCCACTAGCATCCAAGTGAGCTGTAGGGGAGGGAGAGCTCAGTGGTTAGAGCATTGGCCTGCTAAACCCAGGGTTGTGAGTTCAATCTTTGAGAGGGCCACTCAGGGATCTGAGGCAAAATCACTACTTGGTCCTGCTAGTGAAGGCAGGGGGCTAGGCTCAATGACCTTTCAAGGTCCCTTCCAGTTCCAAATCTCCATTAATTTAATAGCATGAGCAATGCACTAGAGTCCAAGTAAAGCAGTGTGAGCAGTTAACTAGAATCCAAGGGATGCAGTGAGAGTGTCCAGCCCCCTGCAGGATTAGAGGGGCCTGTCAGGTTATCAGCCTAATCAGTTGGGAGAGACAGTTTAAACCAAAAAAAAAGTGAATGATAATTGGGAATTATTTAAGAACATTTCTTGTCCAAAAAGTCACAGTTGAGAAAGAAGGTCAGAAAACGAACCCGGCTTAGAGATTAAGTGAAAGCAGCTATCAAAAATAATATATAATGAATGAGAGAATGGGGAACTTGATAATAATGAATATAAATCAGAAGCTGGACATTGTAGAAAATTGATAAGGGAAGCAAAAGGAAGCAAGAAGCAGTATGTGGCCAGAGAAGTTAAGCATAATAAAATTTTTATGTATATTGGGAACAAAAAAGAATCCTAGAAGTGTTATTGATCCACTACTAAATCATAGAATTATAGAATATCAGGGTTGGAAGGGACCTCAGGAGGTCATCTAGTACAACCCCCTGCTCAGAGCAGGACCTAATCCCAACTAAATCATCCCAGCCAGGGCTTTGTCAAGCCTGACCTTAAAAACCTCTAAGGAAGGAGATTCCACCACCTCCCTAGGTAACCCATTCCAGGGCTTCCCCACCCTCCTAGTGAAAAAGTTTTTCCTAATATCCAACCTAAACCTCCCTCACTGCAACTTGAGACCATTACTCCTTGTTCTGTCATCTGGTACCACTAAGAACAGTCTATATCCATCCTCTTTGGAACCCCCTTTCAGGTAGTTGAAAGTAGCTATCAAATCCCCCCTCATTCTTCTCTTCTGCAGACTAAACAATCCCAGTTCCCTCAGCCTCTCTTCATAACTCATGTGCTCCAGCCCCCTAATCATTTTTGTTGCCCTCCACTGGACTGTTTCCAATTTTTCCACATCCTTCTTGTAGTGTGGGGCCCAAAACTGGACACAGTACTCCAGGTGAGGCCTCAACAATGTTGAATAGAGGGGAATGATCATGTCCTCGATCTGCTGGCAATGCCTCTACTTATACAGCCCAAAATGCCGTTAGCCTTCTTGGCAACAAGGGCACACTGTTGACTCATATCCAGCTTCTCGTCCACTGTAACCCCTAGGTCCTTTTCTGCAGAACTGCTGCCTAGCCACTCGGTCCCTAGGCTGTAACAGTGAATGGGATTTTTCCGTCCTAAGTGCAGGACTCTGCACTTGTCTTTGTTGAACCTCATCAGGTTTCTTTTGGCCCAATCCTCTAATTTGTCTAGGTCCCTCTGTATCCTATCCCTACCCTCCAGCATATCTACCATTCCTCCCAGTTTAGTGTCATCTGCAAACTTGCTGAGAGTGCAGTCCACGCCATCCTCCAGATCATTAATGAAGATATTGAACAAAACCGGACCCAGGACCAACCCTTGGGGCACTCCACTTGAATCCGGCTGCCAACTAGACATGGAGCCGTTGATCACTACCCGTTGAGCCCGACAATCTAGCCAGCTTTCTATCCACCTTATAGTCCATTCATCCAGCCCATACTTCTTTAACTTCCTGGCAAGAATACTGTGGGAGACGGTATCAAAAGCTTTGCTAAAGTCAAACACATCCACTGCTTTCCCCTCATCCACAGACCCAGTTATCTCCTCATAGAAGGCAATTAGGTTAGTCAGACATGACTTGCCCTTGGTGAATCCATGCTGACTGTTCCTGATCACTTTCCTTTCCTCTAAGTGCTTCAGAATTGATTCCTTGAGGACCTGCTCCATGATTTTTCCAGGGACTGAGGTGAGGTTGACTGGCCTGTAGTTCCCAGGATCCTCCTTCTTCCCTTTTTTAAAGATGGGCACTACATTCGCCTTTTTCCAGTCATCCGGGACCTTCCCCGATCACCATGAGTTTTCAAAGATAATGGCCAATGGCTCTGCAATCTCATCCACCAACTCCTATTCACCCACTCCTTTAGCACCCTTGGATGCAGCGCATCCAGCCCCATGGACTTGTGCTCGTCCAGTTTTTCTAAATAGTCCCGAACCACTTCTTTCTCCACAGAGGGCTGGTCACCTTCTCCCCATACTATGCTGCCCAGTGCAGCAGTCTGGGAGCTGACCTTGTTCGTGAAGACAGAGGCAAAAAAATCATTGAGTACATTAGCTTTTTCCACATCCTCTGTCACTAGGTTGCCTCCCTCATTCAGTAAGGGGCCCACACTTTCCTTGACTCCTTTGTTGTTGCTAACATACCTGAAGAAACCCTTCTTGTTACTCCTAACATCCCTTGCTAGCTGCAACTCCAAGTGTGATTTGGCCTTCCTGATTTCACTCCTGCATACCTGAGCAATATTTTTATACTCTTCCCTGATCATTTGTCCAATCTTCCACTTCTTGTAAGCTTCTTTTTTGCGTTTAAGATCAGCAAGGATTTCACTCTTTAGCCAAGCTGGTCACCTGCCATATTTAATATTCTTTCTACACATCGGGATGGTTTGTTCCTGCAACCTCAATAAGGATTCTTTAAAATACAGTCAGCTCTCCTGGACTCCTTCCCCCCTCATGTTGTTCTCCCAGGGGATCCTGCCCATCAGTTCACTGAGGGAGTCAAAGTCTGCTTTTCTGAAATCCAGGGTCTGTATTCTGCTGCTCTCCTTTCTTCCTTGTGTCAGGATCCTGAACTCGACCACCTCATGGTCACTGCCTCCCAGGTTCCCATCCACTTTTGCTTCCCCTACTAATTCGTCCCCATTTGTGAGCAGCAGATCTAGAAGAGCTCTGCCCCTAGTTGGTTCCTCCAGCACTTGCACCAGGAAATTGTCTGTCCCCTACACTTTCCAAAAACTTCCTGGATAGAATAGAAATGGTAGAATTGTCAATAATAATGCAGAAAAGGTAGACATATTCAATAACTATTTCTGTTTTATATTTGGGAAAAACAAATAATGTAGTTATTATCATGCAATGCTGATGATGGAAACACTTTCCATTCCAATAATAACTCATCAGGATATTAGACGCAGCTACTAAAATTAGACATTTTTAAATCAGCAGTCAGAATAACTTGCAAACAAGAGTTTTAAAAAAGCTGGCCAAGGAGCTTGCTGCACCATGAATGTTGCATAGATCGTGGAACATAAGGGAAGTCCCAGAAGACAGAAAGAAAGCTGATGTTGTGCCAATGTGTAAAAAGGATAAATGGGATGACTTGGGCAATGATAGACCTGACATGAATCCCAGGCATAGTAATGCAGCAGCTGATACAGGACTCAATTAATAAAGAATTAAAGGACAGTAATACAGCCTGTTGACTCCTTCGACCAGTCACGTGGTGCAGTCAATCAGAGCCCTTGTCTCCGGGCCAGCTGTGCTCATTGCTGGCTCTGCTGCAGGCGAGGCCCCGGCACATTAGAAGCTTGGCTGATAAAGGGAGTAGTGCTGATGGAAAATACTTGGCCAGCTCGAAGGCTTTCGACTTGGTACCTCAGAACGCCTTGATAAAGACACTAGAATGAGATCAAATGAACATGGCACACATTAAATGGATTAAAGACTGGCTAACTGATCGTTCTCAAAAAGTAATTGTAAGTGTAGAATGGTCCCTGTGAGAGCGTATTTCCAGTGGGGTCCTACAGGGATTGGTTGTTGGCCCTATGCTATTTAATATTTCATCACTGACAAAGTTTGCAGATAACATAAAAATTGAGGGAGGGGTAAATAATGAGGACAGGTCACTGACACAGAGCGATCTGGATCACTTGGTACGCTGGGCACAAGCAAACAATATGTGTTTTAATATGGCTATATGTAAATGTACAAAACTAGGAACAAAAAATGTGGGCCATACTTACAGGATGGGGGGCCTCTATCCTGGGAAGCAGGGACTCAGGAATAGATTTGTAGGTCACAGTGGATAATCAGCCGAACTTGAGCTCCTAGTGCAACGCTGTGGCCAAAAGGGCTAATGGACTCCCAAGCAGGAGTATTTGTATTTGGCCCTGGTGTGACTTGCTGCTGGAATCCTGCATCCCGTTCTGGTGCCCATAATTCAGGAAGGATGTCGATAAAGTGGAGAGGGGTCAGAGAAGAGCCACAAGAATGATGAAAGGGTTAGAAAACCTGCCATAGAGTGATAGACGCAAGGAGCTCAATCTATGTAGCTTACCAAAGAGAAGATTAAGGGGTGACCCGATCACAGTCTATAAGTACCTACATGGGGAACAAATATTTCATAATGGGCTGTTCAGTCTAGCACAGAAAGGTCTAACACGATCCAATGGCTGGAAGCTGAAGCCAGACACATTCAGACTGGAAACCCATTGGAACAATTTCCCCAGGGTGACGGTGGATTCTCCGTCGCTGACAATGTTTAAATCCAGACGGGATCTTTTCCTAACAGCTCTGCTCTAGGAATGATTTGAGGGCAGGTCTCTGACCTGGGCTGTACAAGAAGTCAGACTGGATGAGCACAAAGCTCCCTTCTGGCCTATGAATCTCTGAAACAACAACCACCCCAGCCCCTCTCAGCTCACTCCCTGGCTTTCCCCGGAAAGGCCAGCTATTGCTACGCTACCTTTAATATCAGCTACAAAATAGGGAAACGAGGGGTTTTTCTTTATAAAAACTCTACAGCGAAAGGGCAAGTGAAGTTGTTAGAATGAAAGCTGCATTTAATACTTTACATATCAAATGTTTTAACCTTTTCCCTTCTTTTCTGTATCTTTAATAAAAGGTTAAAAGGATTTTAATGGTGTGTTTGCCTTGGGATTAAGCAGGCTGAGGTCTCTGGATACCAAACCCCAAGCCTTGTTTAACAGTTTAATGCTGGCCAGTGACAGGGTCATGTTACCACCTCTAACTCTTTGGGCCCATATATTCCATTTCAATAAATACAACATGGTCTCTGGAAAACGGAAGTGAAGACAAACTCCCGAATGTCAAAGCACAAGCAAGTACAACTATGGGGTAAGAATTTGCCCTGCTTCTACCAGTTCCTTTGAGATCTGAGCCTAGCCCAGGGACAAATACTTCGGCATGCTGGCTTGTGGGAAGGAACACATCGGGGGCTCATTACCCTGCTATGGGTATCCAGGACAGTGCAACAGACTGGGCTGAGCACCCTGAGCAGTGGGTGCGAGTAGATGCCAATGCAGAGAAGCCTTGTCTGCTCAGATTCTGCTTGTTTATAGAATGGGGTTGTCAGCTGCAGCGCTGAGTGAAACTGACATTCTCTCCCTGAGGGGTTTGAAAGGTTCCACTTGGCTTATTCCCTGAGGAGGGGATTTGGGATAACTCAGACCATTAGATCTCCTTGGAACCATCCCACCTGCCCCTTAAAGAAACATTCCAGGCATAGTTTTGCCATGAAGAAAGAGCCTGACAAATTCTTGTGTGTTTGTTAAGCTAGTGAAAAAGGTCCAAAGGCAGCCAGCAAATGCCTGGGAAAGGTTTCTGTTGTTGTTCTTGTGATAAACCTCTGATAATCTCAGCATTAGGGTTTTTGCATTAGACGCTCCTACCACTAGGCTTCCTTCAAAGCAGAAAGGCAACACCCACATGCTGAATTGTTTAATCTTCTCTTTATTCCATTTTCATAGAACCATGGAAACAAGACAGGGATTGGGGGTAAGCAAGCATCAACCTACACAAAATGGAGTCAGACTGTTAGAATAAATAGCCCCCAAAAGCAAGCAGAGTTAGAGAAAGAAACAGGTTTTCCAAGGATGCAATGTCAATGCCTAACTGAAACTTACCTCCAACTTCCTTACGTTACCTAGATATTAATTATTATTAGGGCCCTACCAAATTCACAGCCGTGAAAAACACGTCACGGACCATGAAATCTGGCAATTGGAGGGGGGCCACAGTATAGCCACCCTTACTTCTGCGCTGCCTTCAGAGCTGGGCGGTCAGAAAGCCCCCCACAACCCCCCTTTTGGGTCAGGACTCCTACAGTTACAACACCATGAAATTTCAGATTTAAATATCTAAAGCTGTGAAAATTAAGATTTTTTAAATCCTATGACTATGAAATTTACCAAAATGGACCGAGAATTTGGTAGGGCCCTAATTATTATTAATAATTAGCCATGGTGATGTGTGAGATACAGGGTAGTTGGCGGTTCTTTCATCAACAGACAATGAATCCATGGAACTCATTGGTGCATGATATTGAGGCAAATAGCTTGGTACACGAAAAGAAAGGGATTAGATGTTTGTATGAATAGAGAGAGCCTTCTGAACTGGACTAACAAGGAAAAATACAAGAGTTATCCATTTTTCTTTTTCACAACGTAAGTTGAACAGGAAACTTTACTTCATAGTATGATATCACATAGCTATGTATATTACAGGGTTTTGAGCCTCCCTCTGATGGTGCAATTAGTCCTTGGGATGAACAGGATACTGGTCTGGGTGAATCATTGGTCTGTTCCGTGTGACCGTTCCCATGCTGATGCATGTGCGTGTGGGAGAGAATTGCTTGCTGTGCGAGGAGCGATGGCCCCACTTCTTTCTAAACATTTAGTTGATTTAGTTGGGGATTGGTCTTGCTTTGAGCAGGGGGTTGGACTAGATGACCTCCTGAGGTCCCTTCCAACCCTGATATTCTATGATTCTATGATTATACGGTCATTTCTGAGTGCCCAAAAGTAGGCTAGGTACTTCACAGAAACAAGACAAGAGTCCCAAAGAGTGTACAAATGGGCTTTGGCCTGACAGAACAGGAGGACATCACAAACCCAGGGACAGGCGGGGAGAGGAAGGAGCCCAAAGTCTTGTGGTAAGGCATGTGCAAATCTTAGTGGTCATTGGTGGGATGGAGAAGGCAGGGGAAATGCAGAAAAGTGTGTGTGTGTGCGTGCATGCACACACACACTGGCAGCACAGTGTGTCTGCCTTTGGCTAAGTTTTGTGGGGAAAACAACTATTTCAATGTATGAGATAAGAGGAATCTACATTATTTTGTCCATGTTCAAATAATTCTTACACCTGTTTCATTGAGAAGCTTGAAATTGGCGGGGAGCTAGAGGGGAGAGAAGGGGTCACTCTGAGATCAGCCTTTCGCTGTTTCTGTGAAAAACCACCCCCATTTGGCAAAGTGATGAGCTTTTGAAAAATGCCAGTTTGCACCGGCCCAGGAGAACCGTGTTAGAGTTTGGCAGCTAACCTGCTCCAGCCCCTCAGCTCCCAACGTGCAACTGTAACCCCCTGGGGGTTTAGAGAGCATGGCCCCTGTAAACCCTTGTCCTGAGCGGGAGGAAGAGCTGGTGAGTCCAGCCGCCTGGGAAGAAGGAGAGCAAGGGGGTGAGGTGGGTGTGTCTGGAGCTCCAGACAAGAGGCCTGCAACAGGCAGGGCCTCAGTGAAACAGCCAAGAACCTGCCTGAAGCCTGGGAAGGGCAGGGCAGCCGATCGAGGACAACCCAGGAGGAGCACTGTGCCAGGGAGGAATCGCCCGAGAAGGACAAACTGGAGCTGGACCCAGTATCACTGCTGCCCAGAGCTGTATGGGGCCGTGAGAACTGCGGCTGGTGACTTTGCATTGGGAATAAGGAGGGAGGCTGTCGCTAGTTAAGTGGGAAGTTGTCTCTCTGGCCTGGTCCACACTAACCCCCCACTTCGAACTAAGGTACGCAAATTCAGCTACGTTAATAATGTAGCTGAATTCGAAGTACCTTAGTTTGAACTTACCGCGGGTCCAGGACTCCTGAACTCTGTGTGCAGACACATTGCTCGGTGTCTGCCCTTCCAGACTGTGCTACCACTGGGCCTGGGAGGCCTCGTGTTGGCTGTAACCCTGTTTTATTGCTCCCCCTATATTCCCCCCTGTTGTTTTTCTCATCTCATCCCTCTGTGAATAAATATTCCCTTTCCGAGATTCTGGTGTGTGTGTCACTCCGGGGGGTTGAAACCAGTGCCTCTGGGGTGAAAGGGACTTTCCCTGCTGCGGTTCTCTGCCAGAGCCGACTCTGTCTTGGCCACGAGGGTGCTACAGTCACACAACATTTGGCTAATATAGAGGACAGCCGGAGCGAGACTGCAGCCTGCAGCCTGCAGGGGGCTGAGAAAGCAGCGATTGCTGCTGGGAATGGGATCTCCTGACCCGAAGCCCCCTGCGCGTTGTGGTGCTGAAGCAGGGAAGTGGTGCATTTTACCAAAAAAGGGTCAGTGAGGTTTCCCAAAGAGTGGGCGGGTCAGGACTGCCACCTTGGAAGTACTTCGGTTTGATCTCGGGCACTGCTGGCATAGGCTGGGGTTCTCAATGGGTCTTGCAGGAGTTAGAGGTTCTCCTGGTGAAAGCCAATCCAAGCTGGGGCCCTAACTCCCAGAGGCCTCTGGAAAATCCCCACCAGAATTTCTCAGCCTAGCTGCTTTGTGGGTCTTTTTTCCCTTCAGGTGCTCTAACGCAGGGGGGTCTGAATTGGAAGGAAGCCAGTGACCCAGCAGTGCAGGAAGGAGGGTGGGTGCAGGCAGGGACAGAGAAATCAAACCGATTTCATGTTTCCCCTTCCCAGGAGAAGGTCAGAATCATTTACATGACCCTGGAGGATCCCCAAGCACTTTACCAGCTCTGGGCCTGACCCTGAGGTCTGAGCACCCTAACTTCCAAGCCCTGCTTTGAATGCAGCTCGTTGGGCCCTGCAGTTCTGAGCCAGCCAGGCTCCTGCACCAAGCACGGGAAGAACAACTTTGGGAATGGATGGTCCTGCCAGTGCTCAATCACTGCCCAGGAAGGGTGCAGTCCAGAGCCGGGGAGGGGTCCGGAAGCTTTCTTCTACTGAGTTGTGTGACTGCAGATTTGGGGCTGTCTCCCTGGAGCTGGTAAGCTACACTGCCCTGACTCCATCGTAGAAATCAGGAAGGCCCCAGGGAAGGATCCTGTGGCACCCAGAGAAGGACATTTTCTGCAGTGACTCATCTAATGTGTGTCTAGTCAAGAGTTCTGTGCCCTGCAGCCGCTTCCCCCAGGAGCCTGTCTGGCTCTCTAATGGGCTCCCCCGGGGGGATGTTTCTGAGGGCACTGAGGTTGCTTTTGCTCTCCGCAGCTCCATGCTGTCCCCCCATGCTGACGGTGCCGAGTGGGTGGTCATCCGTCAAAATGGTGGTGCAGAAAAGGCAGCAGTGTTCAATAAATATTTCTGTTATGTATCTGGGGGGAAAACAGATGATGTAGGACGAAGCACTTTCTATTCCACTGGTATCTCAGGAGGAAGTTAAACAGCAGCTACTAATATTAGACCATTTTAAATCAGCAGGTCTGGAGAACTTGCATCCAAGAGTTTTAAAAGAACTGGCTGAGGAGCTCACTGGACCTATAATATTGATTTTTCACTAAGGCTTGGTGTACCAGGGAAGCTCCAGAAGATGGAAGAAAACTTTGTGCCCATATTTTAAAAGTGTAATGGGATGGCCTGATGTGATGGGGCGCCTACCCCACACCAGGCCTGAGTGGGTAAAAAGAGCCAATACCTGTGGCAGGCTGCACCTGGAGGAGAGTCAGGGCGGAGAGGCTTTATCTGATGATGAAGCCCAGCTGGACAGGGACAGGCAGAGCTGAGGGAAAACCAGGCAGAGGAGAGTGAGAGGTGGCTGGGGGAAGGAGCTCGCTGTCACCACCTGGAGAGAAGGGGAGTTGGTACCAGACAAGGAGGAGTTCTGGGGAGGGGTAAGCCCCAGGATCCTGCTTGAGAATACAGAACTCAAGAGAGGGTGAAGTAGCCACAGGGAGCAGCAGGAGACTCCAGTGGTAACCTGGGGTGGGCCAGAAGACAGGCCTGGTCTACGGTACAGAGTTAGATCAACATAAGCTGCCTTGCGTTGACCTAGTTGTGCACATGTCTACACTTACATTTGTAGGTGCCCCGTTACGCTGACATAGTAACACCAGCTCCCCGAGTGGCGTTGAGCCATGGTCAATGTAAAGAGGTCGATGCAGCAGGAGTGTAGACGAGTGGTCTCCAACCTTTTTACGCCCAGGATCACTTTTTGAATTTAAGGGTAAACCAGGATCTACCCTGCCCCTTCCCCGAGGCCCCGCCCCTTCCCCAAAGCCCTGCCCCACTCACTCCATCCCCCCCCCTCCGTCGCTCGTGCTACCCCACCCTCACTCACTTTCACCAGGCTGGGGTAGGCGGTAGGGTTCGGGGGGGTGGGGCAGGATCTGGGCTGGGGCTGAGGGATTCGCAGTGTGAGAGGGGGCTCTGGGATGAGCCTGGAGCAGGGGGTTGGGGTGCAGGAGGGGGTGAGGGGTGCAAGCTCTGGGAGAGAGTTTGGGTGCAAGAGGGGGCTCCAGGCTGGGGCAGAGTGTTGGGGTGCAGGAGGGGGTGCAGGGTGCTGGCTTTAGGAGGAGGGATCAGTGCTGGGGCATGGGGTTGGGGTGCAGGAGGGGGTACAGGTTGCTGGCTCTGGGAGGGGGCTCAGGGCTGGGGCTTGGGGTGCAGGAGGGGGTTCGGGGTACAGGAGGGGTTATGGGGTGCTGGCTCCAGGATGGGGCTCAGGACTGGGGGTTGGGGTGCGGCCTCCCACCAAGCAGCACTTACCTCTGGCGGCTCCTGATTGGCAGTTCAGCGTGGCTGCTGCTAAGGCAGGCTCCCTGCTTACCCCATCCCCATGCCACTCCCGGAAATGGCCAACGTGCCCCTGTGGCCCCTGGGGGCAGGGCGGGGGGCACGTGGATCCACGCACTGCCCCTCTCTGCAAGCACTGCCCTCGCAGCTTCCATTGGCCACAGCTCTCCATTCCCAGCCAATGGGAGCTGCAGGGGTGGTGCTTGCAGGCAGGAGCAGCACGCGGAGGGAGACTGTTGCCCTCTCGCCCCTGGGGCCGTGGTGGCCACTTCTAGGAGCGGCAACCCCGCTACACCACCAGAGATCACAATCGACTGGGAGATCCTCTAGGATCGCAATAGACCGGTTGCAATCAACCGGTTGGTGACCACTGGTGTAGACCCTGCGTTATTTATGTCAACCATAACAGTCCTCCAGCCTCTGTCCCACAATGCCCGACACTGACTGTTCTGGTCACAATAGTTAACTCCACTGCCCAGGGGTCACATAGACCGGAGGACACCCCCAGCCCCTCTTTAAAACCCCTGTGAATTTTTGAAATGCCTTTTTCTGGTTGTCCAGCGTGGCAAGCACATCTCTATCTCCTCTCCATTGTTGTGCGCAACTGCCCCAGTGGCCGTGGGGTCTACATGCTCCAGACACACTCCTACCTCCTATGTGTACTGGGGGTCCCTTCTGAGGCCCCTAAACACCACTTTGATCCTTTCTCTCTTTGCTGTGTAATAATAGAGCTGATTTTGAGTGTATGAGGAGTCTTGTTATGTGCTGCAGAGCTGAAATCACTGATTCCTAGGTCTAAACATTAGACCTACTTTGGGCAAGTGGTTCTGAGTGTGCCAGCACTGGGGCCCCCTACTAAGAGCTGAAATCACTGAGAGCTGTGTTGGGCGGGGGGCCTGAAGACATATCGGTGAGTGGCTGGCAGAGAGGAGCTCCTAGCAGGATGGCTAGTGGAGAGGTGCACAGAGGCACGCCTAGCAAGACAGCTAGCGGAGAGGAGCGGCTGGCGGTGAAGACTGTAGCAGAACCCCATGGAGAGGCGTAGCAAACGGCCATCAACGTGAGCAGTGGAGCATGTAAGCTGCCCCCCATATCTCCCCCACTTCCACCCAGGCTGGGAGGTAAACTCTGCAGATGAACTTCTGAACTCTGGGGGCTGCACTGACCAAGGGCAGAAACTGTGGGTGGAGGTGACTGTTGGGTTGCTGGACTTAAGACCCTGAGGGGAAAAGGACACTGCCAAACTTACTTGGGGGTGGGTCTTTTGCTCATGGTTTGTGTTATGAATCCTGTTTGTGATGTTTCCCTTTATTAAAAGGCTTTTGCTACACTCAGACTCTGTGCTTGCGAGAGGAGAAGTATTGCCTCTTAGAGGTGCCCAGAGGGGTGGTACCTGGTCACTGGGTGGGGGCTCGAGCCGTTTTGCATTGTGTTATTGGAACCCCTAGATACCGAACCCGGCCCTTGTTGCTGCCAACTCTGACAGGCAGAAGGGTTACACATGCACCCCAGCAATTCCCTCCCTGTTTCCCTCATCCCTGGCAGGCCAGACTCACCATGGCCCGTTGCTGTTAGTTGCACCGTGATCCGGCACTCCAGAGCAGAAGTGTCCATAAGCAGGTCTTGTTTAGCACTCTGGGGGAGCAAGAGAAGCGGGGATTGATGGATCTTCTGTTTCCCTTTCTGTACATACTGTACTGACCATGGCGCCTCTGTGTGTTTTATCTGTAGCTGCTGCCTCCCTCCGCACCAGCACGACAACTGACCCAGATAAGGAGGAGAGAAAAGAGGACATGTTCTGTGAGATCCTGCCAGCCTGTGCTGCCTCGGACCTGGAAGAGAGGGCCTGGAGGGTGAACGTGGCAGACTGTCTAGAGAAGGAAACTGGACAGGAGAAGGGTGCAGGAAAAGGAGAGGAAGATGCATCAGGACACAGGTGCTGCAGCTCCAGGTTCAACAATCCCGGGCTCGACCGCCACTGCAGACTGCAGCATAGTGCTGCACTACTTCCCTCCCCTCAGCATTCCCCAGAGCCAGCATGCCACTGCCTACCCCTGCCACTGCCCTCCCGGCTGCATGGACCGCCCCAGCTGCGCACCCTGTATGGATGGGTAGCTACAACGCGCACCGGTGCTCCTGCCTCTTCTTTATTTATTAAGGTTCCTACATTGTTTTAAGAACAGTGTACAGGGAAACCCCGCTATAATGCGCCCCGCGATAACGCAAATACGGCTATAACGCGATCATAAGGTGGCTCCCGCCACCCCAAGCGCCAAGAAAGAAGCAGCCGGAGTGCCGCTGAAGCACACACAAAAAAAGAAAAAGCGGCCGGAGCGCTGCCGAGGCACACCCAAAAGAAAACAAAAAAGGAACATGCCTTCCCCTCTGCCTCTTCCCCTCTACCCCCGCTTCTCCTTTTGGCGGGAAGAGCCATTCTCCTCCCCAGCTGCTCCTCCTCTGCCCTTGCAGGTCTCCCCTGCTCTCTGCCCAAGAGAAATTGACCGGCTTGAAACTGCCCGGCTTGAAATGGTAAAATGTTGGTAACCCCGCTATACCGCGACCCCGCATTTATCGCGATTGAAATTTTTGGACCCCAGTCGTCGCGTTATAGCGGGGTTTCACTCTATTTACCTTTATGTTCTTCTGTTTGTCAGGTGCTGTTTTCCTAATTGAATAAAACTCTGATTTTGGATATGAATCATCTTCAGTAGTTTGCACACCTGGAGTACGATGCCTGCTGGCAGGGAAAGCGATGGTCTCGTACACTCACAACCCATAGGATCAGGGGCAAACAGTGTAGTCGTCGTAACCGTACAGCAAGAAGGCTGACATTATTCGCTGCACTGGCAGTGATATATGCACAGAGGTGCAGCAAGCACCACACAGTTCCTGACAGGCCCCCAAACGGCAGCGCCGGGCTGAGCACAGGGCACCACGGCACATTCCTGGGGCTCGCCGAGGAAGTGCTCTTTCAAAACCTCCCTAAGCTGTAGCTCCTCACTGAGCTCGTCTGATAGCCCTTGTGTCTGGTTGTTTGAACTCAGCAGACCTCTGTCCTCTCCCCTTTGCTTCACAGATCTTACGCAGGACACAACAGGCAGCTATAACCGTTGGGATATTTTTCACACTGAGATCCAATCTGGCGAGTAAACAAGGCCAGGGCCCTTTCAATCTACCAAAAGCACATTCACCTGTCATTCTGTCCTGCTGCGCCTGGAGCTGAATCTCTCCTTGGTGCTCTCGAGGTGACCAGTGTGTGACTTCAGGAGCCAGGGGAGGAAGGGGTAGGCAGGACCCCCCAGATCATTGTTGGCATTTCAGCATCACCCATGGTAATCCATTGGTCGGGAAAGAAGGTCCCTGCCTGTAGCTTTCTGAACAGTCCTGTGTTCTTAAAGATGGGCGCATCACGCCCCTTCCCTGACCAGCCCACACTGATATCGTGAAACATCCCCCATGATCCACCAGCACTTGCATAACTATGGCAAAGTAGCCCTTTCCGTTGGTGTACTCTGTGGCAAGGTGCTCTGGGGCCAAAATGGTGGGGGGTGTAGTCTATTGCCCCATTGCAGTTCGGGAATCCCACAGCTGCAAAGCCATCCACTATGTTCTGCGCATTGCCGAGAATCACAGTCCTGCGTAGCAGGAGATGGTTAATGGCCCTGCACACTTGCATGATTACCGCCACCACTGTGGATTTTCCTGCTCCGAAATGACTTCCCACTGATGGGTAGCATCTGGCACTGCAAGTTCCCACAGTGTGATCGCCATGGGCGGCGCATGAACCACCAGCTGGGAGAGGCTAGCCCCCCCGCCCCGCCCCTTCCTCCAGAGGCCCCACCATCCACCCCACCACCGCCAGAGCCTCCCCCACCGCAGCTGCCAACCCCTGCCCCAGGCTACCGCCCCCAGCCCCGGAGCACTGAGAGGGTGGGCAGCGCAACCCCAGCCCCAGCCAGGGCCGCCGCAGAGGAGGGCTTGGGGGTGGAGCATAGGCGGGGCCATGCCTGGCTGTTTGGAGAGGCACAGCCTCCTCCAGCCTATGATACCTGCCGCCCATGGTGATCACCACTTGCTTCTCCACTGTCAGTGCAGCTCTTAGTTCAGTGTCCCTGCACTGGACAGCTGAGGGGGAACTTGGCACACAGATCCCAGAATGTGGCCTCAGGCATCCAAAAGTTCTGCACCCTCCGCTCATCATCCCAAACCTGCATTACAATGGGATCCCACCAGTCAGGGTTTTGTTTCTCAGGCCCAGAAGCAGCACTCCACAATCTGCAGCTGCTCCATGAACGACACCAACAATCTCACTATGTCCTACAGCAAACTGACCGCCAGGAAATCGTCATGTTCCCCACCATTCTTCTTGCAGCTCTGCAAATACTGGAGGGTCATGTGTCCTGTGCTTGCAACGCTCGTGATAATAGTGCAGAGCTGTGCAGGCTCCGTGCTTCCATCAGAGATGGCAGACAGTGACGAGTTCTGCGTAGGTTCAGGGGGAATTGAAAATAGGTGCAAAAGTTATGGGATAGAGATGCTATTATGGGAAACTGATCCCCAATCACCCCTGTGGGACTCGTTTCTGCCCCATCGTGCATTGCCAAAACGTCCCAAAAGACAGTACGTGGGACAGCGGCAGGCTAGTGATGTTCCTGAGCTCTCTGTTCACGTGAAATATCCCGTTTCATGGCTATGCGGTCAGCAAAGGGTTTGGTCCAGCTCTCCTAGAGCAAGCGACGTCTAATGTTCTGTAAATACACGGAAGACTGAAAAGAGCTTAAGCCCTAGAAGTAAAAGCAGTTTCATTCAGTTGCTAAATGGATACAGCCCAGCTGCACACACATGGACGAGCATCCACACACAGTTTAACCAAATCAAATTAAAACCCTGTTTTAGTTAAACCAGGGGCAATTTTCGTGCCGACAAGGCCTGGGTCGAAGGATGTCTCAGCTGATGAACTCCCACGCCAAGGGGTCAGAAGAGAGTTTACAGAGCAAAGCAGCTAGCAGGAAGGAAGAAGGGGGTCTAAGATAAAGCAGGTCACCCCCAATGTACACCTGGCTTCAGCTCCCCAGTGCATAATTATCGCACTCAGACCCCCTCCGTTATTGGCAAGTGGGGTAACTGAGTGTAACTCACACACGACTCTGGACTTTGTCCATTTCTCTAGTGGGGAGCAGTAATTCCATCTCCATGACAACCCGGTCTTTACCCTTTCATCTGACACCCCCAAAGGAAGGCCCCACCTATGCCAGCTGTGTGCTCTGCTTCTGGTAATAGACATCGTCATTCGCTGCTGGGACAGAGGCCATCAGCTCATCTCAGGTGCTTTCACTTTAGGTTGCTGCCGTAGCAGGTGAGCTTTAGCCTATAGCTGAAAGGTCCCATGTCTCCACTGTCAACCTCTGAGGTAACCAGACCCCTGTGAGTTCCTAGTGAGGTAAACAGAAAGGAGCATAAACACTGCCAAATTAAGTGTAAAAATGTAATAAGAAAAGCCAAAAAGGAGTTTGAAGAACAGCTAGCCAAAAACTCAAAAGGAAATAAGAAAACGTTTTTTAAGTACATCAGAAGCAGGAAGCCTGCTAAACAACCAGTGGGGCCCCTGGACGATCGAGATACAAGAGGAGCACTTAAAGACGATAAAGTCATTGCGGAGAAACTAAATGGATTCTTTGCTTCAGTCTTCACGGCTGAGGATGTTAAGGAGATTCCCAAACCTGCGCCGTCCTTTGTAGGTGACAAATCTGAGGAATTGTCACAGATTGAAGTGTCACTAGAGGAGGTTTTGGAATTAATTGATAAACTTAATAGTAACAAGTCACCGGGACCAGATGGCATTCACCCAAGAGTTCTGAAAGAACTCAAATGTGAAATTGCAGAACTATTAACTATGGTTTGTAACCTGTCCTTTAAATTGGCTTCTGTACCCAACGACTGGAAGATAGCTAATAAAAAGGGCTGTAGAGGTGATCCTGGCAATTACAGACCAGTAAGTCTAACGTCAGTACCAGGCAAATTAATTGAAACAATAGTAAAGAATAAAATTGTCCGACACATAGAAGAACATAAATTGTTGGGCAAAAGTCAACATGGTTTCTGTAAAGGGAAACAATGTCTTACTAATCTATTAGAGTTCTTTGAAGGGGTCAACAAACATGTGGACAAGGGGGATCCAGTGGACATAGTGTACAGTAACTCATCACTTAAAAAGCAACAGAGGGTCCTGTGGCACCTTTAAGACTAACAGAAGTATTGGGAGCATAAGCTTTCGTGGGTAAGAACCTCACTTGAGGTTCTTACCCACGAAAGCTTATG